AAGACAGTTTCTATGTAAGTACAATCTGTATAATTACTTTTAATAAATTAAAATACACAAAATCTGTATCTCAATATCTCACGAATAAGCATGACATTTAAACAGTATACTATTCAACAATGGACATTATTATTTTTATTACTAATTATTAACATTTATTTACATATAATAGTGAAATCAACTTTATTCATACACTTGATATTGTTTTTTTATTTTAATATTATATCATTTATGTGCATGTTCATTGATCAAATCAGTAATTATAACCTGTATCCAACCTTATGATATTTAAATGAATTTCATATTAATCACAAAAATTTTTTTATCAAAGTGTAATGATAGAAAATAATATTATGAATTTTAGGAAGCTCAAAGAGAAAATCATAAACAAAGAGAAGCAGAAGAAAAAAGTCGTCGTGCTCGAGATGCTCGTGATAAAGCGGAGAAAGAAAAGAAAGAACGAGCAGCACGTAAAAAAGCACTAATTGATATGAATGCAGATCATACACAAGAAGGTGTAATGGACAGTTTGTTTGAAGCATTGCAAACAGGATCTGCATTTAGTCGAGATCAAAGACGTCGAAGACAAGGTGGCACAAATACTGGAGGTAATATATATTTTTTAATTCATTTTTGACCATAAATATTAAATAAATTATCATACATAATTATAATTATTACTCATTGCATATCTTTATACCTTATGCTTATTTATTATATTTTAGATGATAAAAGAGCTCCATTATTATATCGCAGTCGATCAAGGACAGCTTTTAGTGAGCGAGATTTACCAACTACACGAGTTCAGCATTAACAATGATCATTACCACTGTTTATTGATGAAATTTGGTGCAAATTTTATAATTTTTTCTTCAATTATGAACTATTCAACTGTATTTTATATTAATTCAAATTATATATTTACTATTTTCATCAACGAAATTTTATGAATGATAAATTGATTATTTTGAAATAACTTTAAAAAGTATGTATTAATAATATATGTAATAATTTATTAGTAGTAAAAGAGGCATAATGAGTATGAACAATTTGTACATAATCTATCTACAAATTTGTTAACTTTAAATAATATTATAGCCTAAAGGAACTTAATTGTGTTAATAATATCCTATTTTTAAATAAAAAATATTGGTTAGCAGAACTTAAAGTTTTTATTATTCACTCAAGTCATTCTTACTAAATGAGTAGTAAAACAAGATTTATAACTCAAGTTGATTGTATTTTAACTGTATATTAGATTGATTAAATTCAAAAATAATTTATTATCTACATTTTATTATTTTGGTAAAATTTTAATTTATACTACCTGTTTTACCGTTGAATCTTAAAAATTTTATTTTTGTTTAAAAATTAAGGATATTATATTTAATATGTATAATGCATTATTTTTAAGTGCCTCTTCTACTATTGTAGTTGATCATTAAGCATTTTTTATATAATTATTATATTTATATATACATAATATAAATAAACAGTTGATTAACAAGCTGTATAATAATAAGATCATATTTTAATGACATTTTATATACTTTATGATACTGATAAAAAATCAAATTATTTTTCAAACCTGTGATACTTATGACATTTTAGATAAATTAGTATGAATTAACAATTTGATGTAACAATTTTTTTTAGATAATTAAAAATTATAATAAAATATTGAATTAACGTTGAAAAAATAATGAGACTGTCCCGTGTATTGTTGCTCATTTATATTGATTAAATAAACTAAAAATATTTTTATTAAGTATGCAAATTATATAACTTTTTTTTAATACCTTTAATGTAATTTATTTACAAATAAATAGAAATAATTATAGAAAAAAAAAAACTGTTGAATTGTATAAAAGTTCTGTTATTTCTTAATGCTTATGGTTTTAATATTTTTATTCTTATACCCTGAATGTTTTTATTTTTTAATGCAAGTGTCATCAGATGTCAAAATCAAAAAATTTAAAATCTCTAATGCTTATATTTTGATTTTAGACTTTTTGTATAATAACATTAGAGTATCAATGCAACTGTTAAATGTGTTTGTAAAAATGTTAATGGTTAAACATTTTATATTATTTGAGTATACATAGTAGTTAAGAAATATTGTAACTATCAGTTTATTACATATCTGTAAACAAATGTACATCGAAAATATAATTAAAATTAATATATTTATATAAATGAAAAAGATTTGTATTTAAAATTTAAATTAGTAATTTACACATAATCATATGCTTTTACATGCTTTAATTGATTAATTTGTATCAAAGTTATTTTGGTAATAAAAATCTAAATACTATTTAGATGGTATTAAAATAATATAACGATAAAAAAGTGAAATTGTGAAAGACAGAACACACAATACACATAAGTCTATCATTGTAATACTTAACATTGGCCCAAAAATATTATATGTAATGTCTTGATAATATTATTTACTGCAGTTTAGTACTGCCAAAAACATCTTTGCTGATTAATTGATCATTTAGTAAATTACTTTCAATAATAGGTAATAATATTTACTAATGATATGTTACAAGGTTTTGTGATATTCACAGATAAAATCCTGTTAATTAATTTTGTATTATGTTTACCATTTCTAAGTCGTTTAAAGGCCTAATTAACCTTTCCTAATAGACAAAATGTCTGATTATCGGGCAAAAAAAATATTTTATACTACATAATCATCAAATAGTGATATTGACATAAAGCTATACACTAAATATTCTATCCTTTAAAAATAAACGTATATCTATAGAGTATTGTCAACTTGTATCAGAATATTACAATATTGTTTTCATTTAATTCAAAGGCAAAGAAAAGAAAGGTAAATAAATGGGTACCACTCTACTGTAAACTATATTAGATGTGTTAAATTAGAATAAATCTGTGATGTATTGTGTACGGAAAACTATTCTAAGATGAAATAGATAGTTAGAAATAGAGTTTCAAGTGATATGTTTTTTTTTTTTTATGTAATCATTTAAGTCATTTATTTTACTTTTAGTATTATAATAAGTTGATAAAATAATTTTATAATATATTGCATTTATTAAATTATTTTAATAATATAAATTTTATTTATACCATACCATGTCAACTTTAAGTTTAAAGTTTAATGACAACATTCTGTAAATACCATATAACAGCAGAAAAAAATTCATAGTAAGTATAAATATTTAACATTTTAATATATATCGACAATTTTATTCTGTATTGTAAGATTCATAATTAATTAGGGCTGTGAATTTGTAGGAAAAAGCATTTTTTTTTTTAGTAATTGTGAAATGTAGCTTTGTATTTGAATTATGTATTTTCCAATATTTTTAATTGAATTCCATTAATTAACATTTTTAAAAATCTAATTATTAACAAAATTAATACATAAAAAAAAAATTTTAAAAACTCTTAAGGTGATTGGTGTTATACAAAATTTAAATTAAATCAATTCATTTTAATAATTTCTATAAGAAATAAAATATCTTAGTATATTTTTTTAGATTTTATGGTTTTAACATTAAGTACTTATGAAGAATTTTGTTTGAAAATTTAGATATAAAAAAAAAAGTGTTTATACATTTTTAATTATGAAATAAATTGAAACTTTTTGAGATTTATCAAAATTCTATTTTTAAATGCACAAAAAAACAAAATTGTAACTATGTATTTTATACAACTATGAGAATAATTTTTGTAGGATTTCGTATTAAATTTTCTAGAATTTTGTACCAGTAAATTATTTAATTTTTTATCGAAATTTATAGAAAAAAAAATCCTCACCTTAAATAATTTAATTATTAGTAAGTATAAAAGTTTCAAATCTTAAATTAAAAAAAAAAATATATGCAAGAGTTTTTCACCAAAACATAATTCGTTAATATATAACTTTGAATGCTCGTAAAAAATTTAGTTACTACAAATTTTCGATAATCTTAATTGAGAAATTAGTAATGTATGAAGAGTTTCGTATTAAAATGTTCAAGCATTTCTACCCAGAAAATAAAAATAAATCGGCGTTTATAAAAAAAAATATATATATATGTCTATAAATAGTTCAAAAATAGTTGAAATTTTTTGAAAATATTATCGTAAATAAAAACCAATAATACAAACATTTAACATTTGGAATAGTTTCAAGTATTTATATGGTTATTCGTTTTCAAGTTACATCAAAAAAATTTAATTAATTTTGTCAAAAATTGGATTTGCGTAAAAATTCCCATCTTTTTTTCAAAAATATTTTGTTTTTCCCGATTATAAACATATTAAGTAGACATTGGGAAATTTAAATTTTGATCTCTTCAAAACATAAAGTAGACCCAATTTGATATCCAAAACTTCTCCCAATTTTTAAAGTCCAAGCATTTTATCGACAACTTATCGTATTCTCATCCACAAATAATTAAATAATATATTTGTACTAATTGTACATTATGATAAAATCGTTCTGTTCAGAATCTAACACACATAAGTACATTAATTGCATAATACATTACACATGCAATTAATAATTATTGCTCATAATGTACCTATGCCAATTCTATAAACATGTTATGTTAGCCAACAATAGTTTTTTTCATACAAAATGTAATGGAAAAACATACCTTATTGTCACAGTGGGTATCTAATTTGATGAGGTAAACATTACACGAATTTATATTTACTTACAAATAAACCTAAACATAGCTATAATGCAGGTCGTTCGTATATAATTAAAAAGAGCCGAATAACATATAGCCGAACGATATAATATGCGTTATTGAAATTATCAAATAAGTACATACATTATTGACGTTCACATAATATAATACGTATTGATATATTTGTATGTATACTTGGATACTTGCTAGTTATCTGCAATTGAATATTACAATTTTATGTTTACTTACTAACAATTTTTATTTACCTTTTGTTTATTTTCTGTTTGAGTATTAGGAACAAATTAAATCCAATTGCCACGTTAAAACGATTAAAGTCTGATATCACACAATGATATCATTCTACGCGAGAGGCGCACATAATAAAGTTGCTGTAAAAGTACTTACATGTTGCAATAGCTAGTGTCAACTGCCCACATAAAATTCATAAATTATTTTATACATAATAATAATTATTAATACTCGTATCATTATTCACACACGATGACGACGATTACATCGATAGCTGCGTTGTTCAGTTGTATTTTGCTACATTTATTTGTAAGTAAATAATAATAAATAATTTACATAGGAGAGGGAAGTTAGGATTGACAACTACCATCCAAATTTAGATTTAGATAACCATTTCATAGTATTTTTTTTAATAATTTTTAAGTCATGCTGAATAATTATTCGTATAAAATAATTAAAAGTCATACATTTTATCGGCACATTATCGTCGAACAATTTGACTGATGGCTACATTAAATTATATTAACATAATACAGTTTTAAAAATTTAGCCATCGTAGTTATTACCTTATTGTTTAATAAGATATGATATCTAATAGCTATATTTATTATAATTATCAGCAAGGAAATTTTTAATAAATATGCTACAGCAGATCACAAATTTTAAGTACCTACTTACCTGTCATCATTGTGACATGTATTGTATTACATAGTTTATATAAATAAAACTATTTTTCGAATATTTATAGTTATAACAAATACAGATAATGTAGTAAAAACTTGTAAAATAAATTGCAGTGTTGCATTTAAAAAATTAATATTTATAATTAAAAATAATTAAATTTTAATATAATTATTTATTTTACCTTACAGATTTTACAGTTATATTTTGAATACATATAAATATAGTACTTGCAGAAATTATAATATTTATGTAGGAACCACAACTACCAGTCATTATGAAATTTTTCTTAAAAAATCATACAAAAAATGTTAGTTCTTGTAAGTAAAATGTGTTGTCGATATCTTACACAAGTGTGACATAAATAAATATTCAGCATATCGAATTCGCATGTCTCAAAAGTAATGAGTAATGACTTATAATTATTGAAGTCTTATTTAACACATTCATTACAGTAACCTATTAATGATAAATTAAGTATCTATATTAAATTGCTATTATACAGCAGAACAGTTACCTACTTACTCTCCTCTTTTTAATAATGAATTCATGTACCTTTTTAACTAATATGAATTTAAATATTTACACGCATTAATAATGTTATAATGAACAATTGAAATTTGTTTAATATATTCAAATAATAAATATCGTAGATCGTAGGAAAATAGAGTTTTGTATACAAAAAAAGTTCTTTTGGTTTTAATAGATCTTTATACATCTACTTTCTTTTTTTCAAAAATAGTTTAAAGTAAATTTTGAATTTTGCACCTAACAATTTTTCGAGTTGGTTGAATTTATTTTTATTTTCTTTTACAATATTCTAAGGCTCAAAGCAAGGTCTAATTTTATGTAAATTTAATTTAATTTTTACTCGGGATTGGCTGTTAAATTAATTACTTTTTTCAACAGAGGTCACTTCGTTCTTGTCCAGTTCCAAAATTATATTTTTAAATATTTAACTGTTCTAAATTGTTCATGCTAATAGAGAGTTGATATTAAATGATATATTTTTAAACTGATTCATTGAGAATTATTTAATTTGTTAATTTTACTAAAAAATGTTTAGATGTTTGTTCGGTAGTCTTTGTAAAGAAATATTGGCGAATAATAATAATTTCCGCCATAGATCATTTCTTAAATGATTCAGTTAAATTAAACATTGGATCATACTTGTACTTAGTTTTTTTGGTTTTATTTTTAAGTTCAATTTCATTTAAATGTTCAATAAAGAAAATATGGTTCTTGATGACGAATTTTTTATCTCAAATATTTTGTGGAATTAACCATGTAGGTAGTAAAAATAAAAACAACATTGTTTAACTGGCTTAAAAATAAATTCAATCAAGAAATTTTATTAAGATCAAGAATATTACCTATTAATTATATAATATACTAAATTAATCTACCACGTTCGATTTGGAAACAATACATTATTATTTATTAGTAAGTAATGTGTACCCTTTGTATGGAAGTGTAAAGTGTAACTAATGACTAGGTACTAATCAACTATTTTTTAAATATAGTACCTATAATAATATTTTATACTCAAAGTACTTACTCGTATTATGAAAGAATATTTTTTATGTTTATAATAACTGATTTAGCCGCAGTGATTGGCTTTTCCTAAATAATAAGTTCATTTTTTGTGGTTATTGAATGACAAGTGCTCGGTAAGTGTTAAGTGGTTATAGATAATGGTTATTTCCTTCAAAATAGTTATTATAACAGTAACTGCAAAAAATAAGTATACAGTTTTTATCTGTTTTATTTTATAACATAGTGAGAGAGGAGGTCATGCCAATTAGACTTACTAAGTAATTACTAATTAGTAATTATATAAAATCATACAGAAAAATAATATTCAATCATAATGTTAAAAAAATGATATCTTTGTTTCTTGGTTTAAAAGTCAGGTAGAAATTACGCTTTGATTTTATATAGACACTTGACTTTAGATAATTATATGTACTATACTATATAATAACTGGATCATAGGTTGGACAGACTCACTCAGACGGTATAAATCGTATTATAATAAAGTTATACCTTAAGTTATGAATTTATTAGTTTAAAAAAAATATTAATTTAATGATTTGAATTCAATCTAAATAATGAATATAACTCCTTTGTATAAAATGCAAATTCACACTAAAAATTATTAATTTGTTATATATGTGTAGGTTTTTACATCGACTGCCGCAGTAATGCCAGATTCAGATTTGCCGTTCGAGTTCAACCACGATACAGGATCTGTAATTACCGAAGATAACGTACTCACCCAATCAGTGTCAAGTGATGGGGAAACTGTATTCAAAGCAAATGAGCCACAGCCAATAATTAAATATCAAAATTCTAACAAAAATACTAACAATTTATCTACAAATCAAAAAAAAAATGGAAATTATAAAACAATGAACAGTGAAATTGAGTATGAGATTCCTATTGAGCATACGAGTTCATCGCATTTTAATTTTCCTAATATTATGAAAAATCAATGGAAGTTTCTTGAACGTATGAATAGGTATGTATAAAATTATATTCAATTACAATAAGTTTCAAATACTACTAACATCTTAAAATGGTATTATTTACTAAATATTTTTATTAAATTATTATTGTTTTCATTCACTTAATTAGTAATTACCAACTGCAAAAATTAATTTATTTTATAGTTATTTAAAAAAATTTGTTCGCAGATTAATTCCTGGATTTAACAATGTGAGAGTTGTATACGTTTAAAAGCATATAGAGGTGCATTTAAAATTTATGAAAATATTCAGCAGAAAATCGAATCACAACTTAATAATAAATACTATTTTCTTATAAATTAATAATATCTATACTTATATAGAAAATATAATATACAGTAATTATTTCAAATTTATTTTTATTCAATGTGTAACATCCATCTAATAAATACATATTACGTCATAAATCTATAGGTTTTAAATAAAGTACATGAAATAATTACATTTATGGTTTTGATTAATATAATATAACTTATATAGATAGGTATATTTACATCTATATTTACATCTATTATATAATGTTATAAATTATGTATAAACAGATAATATCATTAACATCTAAATATAGATGGTAGATATTACACATAAACGATGAATATATATTAAAAATCAAAGTATTTAAATTAAAGAATTTAACTCTTCAAAATTATAAACAAATAGTTATTAGGTATATAAACAGATATTAACAAACTTAATCGTAAATTACATTTACTTAAAACAATTCATAAATACGAATAATTTATAATAATATAAAATATATTTAAATATAATAGCTTAATGTCTACATATTATAATAAATTACAATATTACTATCAAGTTATTATTTTATTGATCCATGGCACAAAACACTGTACATTTTGGCCAAATTTTCACGATCACATCCAACTCCTCTCCAAGAGACCAATCCGATTAGAATATTCCTTTCGTCTAGTATCGTTAGGTATCAACGGACCACCAGAGTCACCCCGAATAGTAGAAGTTATTCGATAAGGAATAATTCCTATAATACCTTCATTATAACGCGAATCGTAAAAATTATGATGTTTTTAGTCAAAAAATTTGTGTCAGTTTTGTAGTAAATTCTTTAGGTACATCTCGTAGTTCATCATAAATGTCTACGGGGAAATGATTCATATCTAGACTTAACTATACACGATTGGAACCCAATAATTTATAAGGTCTGCATAAGTCAGATATAGAAGTAATACTCATGAATAGTTATTTTTTAATCGAGTTTCTAGTGTTTATTACATAGATCAACAACATTATGTAGTTTTTAAGTATAAATATTGATCGTTTCATTAATCCATTATAGTCGTATACATAGGCAAATCTTACGAAATAAAATAATAGTAAAAATATTGCCTGATGAGCGATAAGCGATTAAGTGTGACCAAGTGTCACAGTCATTATTAAACAAACATATTTTATTCATTAGAATTATTTGTTTTTCTACAAATAGAAAAAATAAAATGTTGACCGAAAGTCACATTAATTTTTTATGACTGTTTAATGTTCAAATTTTTATGACATTGCATATTCGTCCGTATAATAAATATTTATCCGCAAACGATTTTTGTCTTTTATTATAATTGAAAAACAAATAACCATATCAACTGTTATTTTTCACCACGAAATCATTTTTTATGAGTATTCAAGATAGATTTTTTAGATTGAATATGTGATTAATACAGTTAAAAATTTTTTGCCAATTTAAAGTACTAAAAGAACTTTTTAATATTAATTAGGTATTTGAGATTAATTTATATAGCTTTAAGATAGTTTATAATAAATTATAGTTTTTCATATTTATTTTTTTCTGCTTAAATAATATTTTTGAAATATCAATATTAGGTGTTAAATATTAAAATTCCATATGTACAAAAATGATAGTGTGAATATTTAGTAAAAAAAGTAAATAAGAAAATTGATTTGGCCAAAAATTTGTTTTGCGTAAAAATCATCATTTTCTTTATCGTTTTTTTTTTTTTTTTTGTTTGGCAAGTTGAAATTTTACATTAAACATAATATATGTATTGTTTATGTATGTTTTCAAAAGTATTAGTTTTTAAATTTTTTACATAGATATTTTGAATTTTTAACATTTGTAATTTGAGAATATTTTTTCAATAAGAAATTTAAAATAATGACAATATTTAAAAAATATATTTCCAATAAATTTAACAACTCAAATGATCATTTATAATAATATATAATTTTTTTTATATACAGCTTTACAATTATAGTAGGTAATTATATAATTATTTATTTATATATTATTTTATATAACAATCAGAACTTAAGTAATTACATTTTTTTTTAAATGTACCTTTCATAATTTATTTTTTAAGTACTTTTTCCTAATGAGTAATATTTCCTTAGATATTTTTTTCTAGATTTGATTACTTAATTTTACACATCAACCAAATAGCCCATCGAGTTCGGTATGTGCCAAGCACACATTAATAAACCCTTTTTATATTTACGTGTCCACACTAGTTTACCGTCAATTGATAATGCGAAAATAAATAATCTGACAATAAATAGTGGACAATAGATTAGGAGACAACTTAAAGTGTTTATAAATTAATAGTGTACGACGTTTCAAATAATTTAATTTTTATTATATTATTAATTATGAGTGTACAACATATAAAAAGTAAAAGAGGTACTGACATTTTAATCCATGATGGATACATGTATCATTGTGAATGTAATAGACTGGAAAAACCATTTGACTGTGTGTGCAGCACAAAAAAAAAATGTGAAGGAAGGTTCATTTATCTTATGATGAAAAAGTAAAATACATGGACCATAATCATGTTTCGGATATTTACAAAATTGAAGCCAAAATATAAGTCAGTTAAATGAAGGGAAATGGCAGTAGTACATTGAAATGACACACTCGATTCCTAAAATAATAGTTCTGGTGTTTATATTAAAAATCGAACAAAAAACTTTTAAAAAGTATGTAGTGATCAAAATAAAAGAATTAAAGAAGATTATTAACGAGGCTTCACTCATAATTTTTAATTACAAATTTGATTTTTTTTTTTTTTATTACTATTATTTTACTGTATTTAAGTAAATTATTAACAACTTTATTAATAATAATATAAACTTATAGTAAACAAGTTTATTTGTGAATAGTGAAAACCTATCATTATTATTTTAATTACTGCCAACTTTGGTAAAGTTTATTTTTTAGAAATCTTTATTAAATCTATAGGTAACTGTATTTATTCATTGCACTTTATTAATAAAATCTAAATTCTAAATTTTATACAGAATGTATCTTATGTCATAAATCTATAAAATTTTCCATCAAAGAAATAATTGTAGTACACTATCAATTGACATAGATCCGTCCACGCAATATACACCAATAACAATACATCCATCAATTATTTAGAATAACACCTCCACATGACGAATATTTTGATAACAAATATAGTGTGATGAATTATGATAGTAACCTAGATCAATAATAATTTATTTATAGGATCAATTCGATTATTTATAACTAATAATGATATATTTTTATAGATTTATTTTATCTATCTGCCACGGATGTTTAGCATAGTTTCAACTATGTCCACTGATGCTTCTAGTGCTTCTTGTTTACTTATAATTATTTACGACCCTGGTATGATATTCATTTATTTTACCCATACCAATGTTATATCTTGTATACAAAGGGATGTTTTGGGGTTATGACACCCCCTCCCTACTTGTTATTTGTAAATTATTTTTTATCGTGTATAAATATTAATATTATTAAGGCTATTCTTTCTATATCTATACACGAACGTCTTAAACGATTTTTTTTATATTAGATGATTTTTCATGACATCATAAATTATAATCTATATTGTGACTTATATATAATTAAATGATATGTTATATTAACATTTATATGTATAATAAAAGAATATATTTGTGACACTCTCTTAAAAAATCCTAAATATGCCACAGTACAGTTAAGTCTAAGCCATATCATTTCCAAAATGTTACTTTCGTTTATATTACCTAAATAGGTACCTAACTTAAACTATCGTGAATCGTGATGTATCTTAGTTTATTAATATTACTGTAAACATGAAAACGAAGACACGTGCGTTGGTTTTTTAAAATATTATAAATATAGTACAATATAAAAATAAAATATTTAAATTTTACAAATTGTAATACGTCGCCAACAAATGTAGTACTGGGTTTTAAGTGCTTAACTCATCAATATTCCGGACTCGCATAGTAAAAGTAATAGTACTTATTATTTTATTTTTTATTTTCACATGGAATTGAATTTGTAAGAGCATACACAAAATAATACATAACTATGTTAGTTATAATTAGAGCGTGGATTTTTAAACAATTGTATATTTTTACTTTTTATATTTTAGAAATTTTGTAAGTAACTTTTACAAATTTTAATATTTTTAAACTAACAATGACAACAATTTTATTTACATTGTTTTGCATATTTTGAAAAACTTGCTATCATTTGGATAACCTAGTAAAGGTGTTAAATAATATTTTGTCGATTAGAAAATTCTTACAATGCATTTTTGTCGATTACATACCTATATTATTTATTAATTAAAGATATTATTAATTTTTTCACTTCGCCAGACACCTATCGTTAACTGCTAGATATCGATGATCAAACTATACCATCAATGATCAAAAATAATGTACTTTAAGCGCTGTTACTGTAAAACTCCTACGTTAAAACCTAATACCTGTCAATACCCCACTTGAACACTTAATTTAAATGAAAGTATCTGTGACCACTTGTATATTTTATGTTTTCCCTATTAATAAATCCCCTTAAAATTCTAAATATTTCTTTCAACCATCAATTCATTTTCAATACAAAATCTGAAACCGCTATAAAAAACCTATGAACACTTTTATTTTGTAAGCGGGATTTATCATATTATATACCGATTATTTTTATTATATATTGTTAATTATTACACTATAATAGTTGAGCTATCATAGCTGTATACTAATAGCTATTAAAAATAAAAATAAAATAAAAAATAAATGTATCTCCTTGATGACTTTCAACTTAACTCAAAAACCTATTCATACTATACGTATGCAAAAATATACACAGTAATATTATTTTTATTTTGTTTTTATTTAATGCATAACAGATACCTACTTAAATATATTATACATAAATATATATATATATATCATATAATTACCTTTTATGCATATACATGAAATAATTACATTTATTATTTTGATTACTATTATATTATTCATATAAATATATTTATGTATTATTTACATATAGGTAATATCATTAACATATAAATATAGGTGATGATATGTACACATTTATTTTACATGAATGATAAACATAAATTGAAAATAAAAATGTTTAAATTAATGAATAGCACAATTCGACATCGAAAAAATAACAAAATTATAATGATAAATAACTATTACTAGATTTTTTTTTCATAACTAATTATACTGCAATATGCTTGCAGATTATATACATTTATTACATAAATAATATATTAAGGTTCTAAGTTTAATTTCATAAATAAATAAATAAAATCAATGGTAAATTGTACCTGCTTACAACAACTCATAAATATGAATAATTTATAATTACATTAAATAAATTTAAATTTAATAGCTCAATGTTTGCATAATATAAGATTATAAACTTGAATATTGCTATTACGCCATTACTTTGTCGATCCATGGTACGAAACGCTGTACATTGGTGTACACTCCAGGTAAATGTTCACGGCCGCAACCGATTCCCCAGGAGACTAATCCGATTAGAGTTTTCCGTCCATCCAGCATCGTTGTCAACGGGCCGCCAGAATCGCCCTAAATAGTGATTGTTATTTGGTTATGAATAAAATTATATTACATCGTAACACGAATTAAAACAATAATGATGTTTTTAGTCATTAACGAATTTTTAAAAAAAATCTAAGTATCTACATATTATATTATAATAATATATTCTAAGGGGTGCAGTATATTAATTAGATTTTCCTATGCAGCTTAAAATGTCTTCCTTTTTTAATTTTATTTACATTTCATACAATTTTTATGAGTAAAAAAACTTTAAAATTTAATTGAAATTCCTTACAAATTTTTTGTTAAGGAATTAAAAAATTTGTAGTTTTACCTAGATATCATAAGTTTTTATATGATTAATTATAATTTGTATGTTAGTGAATATTTATCTTAAGTTAGCACAATTTTTTTTTTATATTAATATTTCATACTTAAATAATCTTGGGTGATTAATTGTTATTTATTTTAGAATGACCTATATAATAAAAGTACATTTTTAGTTTTTTTACTCTACTATATTATAACAGAAGGTGTTGATTATGTATCTGGTCATAGAGTAAGTCTCTGTAATGGATGCGTTAAATTTCAATGAATGTAAAAATGTAAATTATAATAAGTCATTGTATAATTTCTAATTATTAATGACTCAACATCCATTCACTCACATTACTAACAAATATTACATGTGTTGCTGAAGCAATACATAAACGATAGGATAACAATCACTTTCATGTGTTATTATTTGAACATACCTACATAATAAAAGTAAGTATTTTATATTTCGAAGAGACACATCAGCCATCATCCCTTATCTTAGTATATATTGCAATATTAACTTCAGCCACCAAGGCAAAAGGACAATTTTTACTAATTTTTAACAGATTGACCAGACAACTATTATAAAATTTGAAATGACACCTTCAAACAATTTTACACGAACCTGACAACTGTCTCGACCACCTTCTTTGTAACCCGCACACAGGAACACATCATGAATCGTTTCCCTCCGACCAGCCGCCCGGAACCACCTTTGGCATCTTTCATTCGGTATCACCTCGACTTGCACTTCTTGTAAAACCGTAGGAACTGTTGCAACTCCTGTGTTTAAAAATTGTGTTATATTAAATATTAAATAGTGTTAATGTATATAATATATTTTATAATCTAAAGAAATATAAAATACCTAGACATATCATATTATTTATTTTTTGGACAATTTTTTAATTTAATACATATATTCTCATTAATAAGTTATTAAGCATTTTTTCACTTAAAATATTTTAATAATCTATGGATCACATTTAAAAGTGTTATAATGATCATACTATTTTTAATTGCTCAATTTAAGGAAAAATACTTATAAATTTCAAATCCATGTTTCAAAGAATACAATTTTTAAAGAGAATGGTATTGGTTTCTAAAAATCTTAACACTACATGGCATTATTTGTAATTACTATTTTATACTTTCAATTAATTTTAATACATCCATAATAAACTGTAATAGAAAAGTAAATATTTTAGATGCCTTAAACGTTTTTTACCAAAACAAAGTAACAACTTTTATCCCTTGAATTCTCGACCTAATGGGAAATTATTTCTAATACCAAAACAGTGTAACTCATCATTTCAATATAATTTAATCCTACTTGGTAACTAAATATTACTATATAAATACTAATCAATAATTATTATTGTATACTATAACACATTTGATAAAGAATTTTGGAGCATAGTAATTACTAAGATGTTTTTAGTATATGAAGTGTACGCGAATAAAAAAATAATTTTATTATATTTAAGTTTGAACTTTAAGTTTAGTAGAATATATTAAAAAAATCTTGTGTAAAAACTGAAAGTATTAAGACTTTTATATTTAAGATTTATATTTATGATAGGTGTTCGAAAATAAAAAATAACGTATGGTAAAATAAAAATATATTACAGTGATTCAATTGATTGGTAGGTAGATACATTTGTCAATTTCTTATTTAGTTTAGTGTCATAAAAATATAAAACAAACAGATACTAACCATGTCGAGTACGACCCCAACCAGCTACTGTGGCTGTCTTTCCGACCAATTTAGCTGCAGAACTTGGCAAACACACTGGAATAATGTGCTGCTTATACGTTACGTCATGATCAATTTTGACTAACGCGACGTCATTACGAAAATCGGTGGGACTGTACTGTGGATGTACCTGTAATTAGCAATGTTAAATAAGTAATTGTGATTGATATAAATTATTATTAAGAATACTAGTAATTTTACTTATATGAATTTACAGATTTATATCAAGCTTATTAAACCTACTATAGCAGTGGAAAACATGAAATTATGTATTACCTACCTACTATGATGTTTAATTAAGGCGTACCTATACTCAGGATTTTGGCTACTTGGTATTATTTTTTTTTTATCTTTATTCAAACTTTATACACTGTTATTAGTTTTTAACAATAAATAATAATTGTTTTCTCATTATTAACATGATATATTATACACTGTATATCTTTATTAATATTTATATTACCGCCTATGATGATAATTAATTTTATAAAAATAAAATCAATTTGGCTCTATATTATACCACTCAATAGTATCAAATATATATTATACTAGTTATTTATTATTTCTTACTTCTTTTCGCTCCACATTGAATTCTTCGTGTGCGTACTTTTCTGATTGATCTCGTACATCCCATTCACCGAGCCGTACTTTTAGATTATTATTCGCCGTGCTTTTTAATATAGTAAAAATGTTTAAATTAATATAAATAAATGAACATATTATACTATATAACAAAATATTATGTGAATTATTGTCATGGAAATACTCGTTAAGTTTATTTTCAGGTAAAGCCGTTTATTGCAGAATAGAAGTTCTACAATAACCGTGATTATTTATAAATTATAACTATAAAACGAAGAATCCGCTTAATAGATAGACGATTGAATACCTACCTAATTAATTAAGTACTAACATTTTTAATACATCATAAAGTTATGCCAAAATTAAGCTATAATATGAAAAGTTTAATTCTGACATACCTAATTGTATTTGTAGCTAAGCGTTACTTTCTATCATTAATTAATTTTTTTTTTCTGGGATTAGGAGGGCACTTTATACTTACATAAAATATGGATTCTTATGGCAAAATATTAAGTCAAAATTTATGTTAAGTTCGACCCATCAACCATCCTTACTTAACCTATGAGTATGTTAATGAAAACTTTTTTATACTTACGTGGCCACGCAATGTGCAGCAGTAACTACCCATCGATTACTCAAAAGAGCACCTCCACACGACAATTTTTTTGACAAAAACCCTGACTTGATGATAGCGGCCTAAATAAATAAAAAATATACATATTATATATATATATATATATATTTAATTAATTTAAATAATAATATAAATATTTATATTTACCTGCCACGGATGTGTACCAAAGTTTGATCCATGTCCACCCACGATTCTATGGCTTCTTGCATATAATTCTCCACAACCTATTTAAATCAAATATGTATATTAATCGGTATTTACATAGGTATTTATGACAGAAGTATAGATTTTATACAAGAATAATATATATATATATATATATATATATGGAAACGTGAGACACAAATTTAAATAATATATATTATATAAAATTACAAATAAAAAAAAAGCATTAAAATAGAGTTTTATGTTTGTACTTTGATTTTTGATTCATATCATGAATAATTCTATTATTATTTTTCATAATATTAATAAATACATTATAATCTATGATATAACCTAAAAAATAACCATGTTTGTAATTTATTTTATTCTCTAAAAATATCTACTACAAAGATAAAAATAAAATATCAAGCTTGAAAATAAAAAGAGTCTCTAAACAAATATTTGGTATATACCAAACTAATAATATGTACAAAAATATTCATAGTAAAAATAAACATTCATAACCAATATTAAATGTAAGTTATTTACTATATAGTTATTTATATGGGTTGTCAATATTAATTAACAAACGATAAGTTTACACATTAGACGACTGAAAAAATAAAACATAATCATAAATGTATATTTATGCATATTTTAAAAATAAATAATTGTATTTTTAATTTGTATCATCCCATAAATTTAATATTAATAAATACTGTTAATATATGCATCAATTTATTTTTAGCTTATACTTTAAAAAACAATTTAAAAATATATTCATCGCCTTGTTTATAATTTAAAATAATTCAACTTCAAATAAAAGTGGAAACAATAACTTAGGCATAAATTTATATTTTTAAGCTATTCAAATTATTTGTTTGTTAAAAATTAGGACTTTGGAATAGTAATAAATAAGTCAAGAAATATTCTTTTATTAGCTCGAGTTAAATACTTGATAATAATAAATTAAATTGGATAATTCCATCAGTAAAATATGTTGTTTATTTCCTATTATCATATATCAAAACTCTATCTCAATAACTTTATTTAAACAATAAGTGAACTTGACGTCAAGATCAAGTAACGTATTTATAATATGTTTAAAAGCTGAAAAACAAAATTATTGATTTAAACTATATATTTAGGCACTCTTATAACTTCATTCAATTTTATACATGATATAGTTAGACACTCATATAACTTCATTCAATTTTATACATGATATTAATGCATTAAGATAATATTTTATAAAAATTGATAAACCGTGAATTATGTTATTTAAAAAAAATTTAAATCACAAGTTAAGAATTTTTTGACGTTCTTAGCGAAATATAAAGTGAATAGTTTCGCTATTAGAAAAATTATTTACTAAGAAAATCAATGCTTTAAAATTCAAAGTAAAAATTATACTGTTACTCTTTACATTAAATTGATAGCTACGAGAAACTTTAGGAATACTTACTCATAAGAAAACTCTTAAGTCAATTCTTTAAGTCAAAATTTACAATAGTATGATTTTTTAAATTTTGTTCTAAGTATAAAAGTGATGATTAATACAATACAATTCATTTCTGCAGTTAAATATATGTATATAAAAGTACATAGTCAATTTAATATTGTGTAGTTTAATAGAATTTAACAGTTATATTTAAAATTTGAAGACACACAAATACTTAAAATAACAAAGTCGATCAGCAATATAATAGGTTTTGAATGTACTTCGTCATTGCCTAGCTCGCTATAATGAATGAATAATGTGTTAAAATTTAAATTTAAATTCGATGATCATTTCGTATGAAAAAAAAACGGTTCTAAATAGAGACGATGTAACAGTCGCTATTTCAAATTTATTAATATTATTATTGATAATTTTTTTTCCGATTTATGCGTTATTGAAAACATTTTCTCCAAAAACATCAAAAATAATATGAAAAAATAATTATAATTCTGTGTCATGTATCTATTTATTTTTATTATAAATTATAAGTTTTATTTAAAATATAAATCAATGTACCAAAATACCATGGAATGGTATAAGTAATTACGTCATATAAATATATAAGTCTAAATAATTTAAAAATATCATTGTGTTAAGAGAAGGATTTAAGTTGTAACACGTTATAATATATCTCTCATTGATAATGCCAACTTTTTAGACAAAAACCAAGGGACCAGTAAAATTAAACTCGTTGCAACGCACCGCATAAATCTCAAATTTCAAAAAATTTAAGTATTAAAAACTGAAGAAAAATAAATCTTCAACCTCAATTACATCCTACAAAGTACAAATCGTCAATCTAATTTCACAAAATCTACAACATATAATAGACAATCAGACTACTCTTAGTATGATTGTATAAATAACGAAATAATTTCATATATGATAATGTTAAAACTTAAAATAACTAACTTGGATGATACACACTGTATAATAATAATTCTATCAATAATTACGTAATCTACAATTCATCATAATTCATAGCCCATAAACATTATTAAAAACACCATTCAGTCGCATACAACTTTCCATACTGCCACAAAAACGAAGCATAGCGTTGATCAGCAACATCTCAATCACTTCAATTCTAAGTTCGACAGCATGTCGGTAATCATCATCGAATTTACTGATTCAAATATGTCAACGAGTTTCCAACACAAATTATGCTAAATTCTTTAATATCGATCGTATTCTCACATTTATTATGTAAATGTATTCATTTTAATTATTTTCAAAGTAATTAAAATACATTTTTTTCCTATACACTTTTAATTTATCTTCGATTTTATAATTTTACATATCCCAATATTTCAATAAAATCTCATTAATTTTTTCCACAGTTTAATCTATTCCACAATGTGGTCTAAAATTTAAAATTTAATTGTTTGTTAGAATCTAATCAAACAATGTGTATGTATGTATTTTTTTATATATAAAAAAAAATGTTAAAATAATGTTAAATAATTGTTAAGATTAATAGTTTTATACTTAGCAAAAGAAAACTTATAGGAAATTACTAAAACGTTTCATGTTGCTACGGTTAATATTTTTTAATCATAACAAAATAACAAAAATCATTATTTTTTGTTTAGATTTCCAACTTCATTCATATTCTAATTTCAAATGAACATAAAAAAAAATAATGTGGCTCACTAAATGTTTTTATTGTCCAAAAACAACTCAATCTTAAAATTTTAATCGTAATCTTAATTTTCAAACTTAGTCTGCTAAATGTATCGAAATTGAATGTAACATAAATTTTTAAGAACAAAATAATTTGCCAATTTTGGTGATAGTGACAAATTAGTATTTGTGTTTGAACTTTAAACAATTAAAAAAATATTGTTGTAGGTACGTTCTTTTAGTATATTTTTAATTCTATTTAGTATAGAATTAATTATCTTTCGGAAACGTTTTAAGTTTAATTAAATTTTTAAGATTTTTGAATCTTTTAAAAAAAGATTCTTGTAAACACTTATAAAAAAAATGTTGACCAGTTCAAATATTTATAAAAAGCTCAAAAAGATTTAGAGTATTTTAAAAATGATCACATGAAGTTTATAGAAAAAATTACTATATATATTGCGTAAAATCTCAAATCAAGATGATTATTTTTTGAATTACAACAAACAATACGAAATCAATTTTTCAAAAACTAGTGATACAAAAATTATGTATTATTCCATAAGTGTTAGAAATTCTTTTTTTTTTGACCAATCAGATTAAATTTATTATTAGAAACTACCCTCAAAGTTGAATATTAAAATTATTTTACTGCTTCAAAAATTAATGGCAAACACGAAAATAAGCATTCATAAATTCTATATTACAATTACTATGATCAGAAGTTAAAATTGAATGTTTTATGAATGAATGCGTACATTTAAAATAAAATAGATAAAAAATTATACAATTTCGGGATAATTAGTTATTTTTAATAAAACAATTAAAAATTGCATGTTACGTATCAATAAAGAAAGGAATCCGTCCAAGAAGTACTTGAAAAATATGATAAACTATAGTTAGAACTCTAGAGCCTATTTTTATAAATAATACGAAATAATAAAGTATATAAATAAATAATAGCTACATAATTAGTAATTTGTGACAGTATTTATATTATTTTAATTAAGAGGACATTTCACCTGCACGATGTGTAGCTTTAGGTCTTACAAACGTATTATACGTACAGCGTGGATATTTACATTCAACTGAACCAAGTTTGTGTTATTAGCTTTAATATAAAAATGAATTGATCCATTATCAAATTTAATAATATTGTCTAATATCTTTGTTTTTGCGTAGAATTTTTAGAATTTATGCTTTGAGCCTTATGCAAGTTATAAGTGTAAAATATCACAATTTAAAAAAAAGCAACTGAAAACTTGTAAAATCGTAAAAAAACAACTACAAACAAAAATAAATGTATAGAAAATATTCTTATTTTAAGTTTGACACTAATTTAATTTACTGTACTATTGAAATTAACATTTATTAACAATAGGTATATTTTTTAAGAGGGTTTCAGAGCACTATTTCTCTCTCTCTCTCTTTCTCTTTAAACCGAAGGAAATCATAAAATTTACACTCAGCAGAACCAATCTTGTATTGTTAGCTTTTATATTAGAGTAAATTGAACTATTACAAAATTTAAGCATAAAAACATTATCTATACTTGTACGTTGCTTTTTTATTCAATATTTTGATTTTTAAATTTTAAGCAAGTAAAACATTACAATTTTGCTCAAACTTTTAAAAATTAAAATATAAAAACAAACATCAATAATATTTTTAATTTTGGACTTAATAATTAGATAAATAATTCATTCTAATATTAAAGCTTACAACACGAAATTGATTTTATTAAACCCAAATTTGCTATGTTTTACGTTTGTAAGACAACAGCAACAGCACATTACAGTTAAAAAAATGTATCATGTATTTAAATACAGAGAGTGAACAGTTAACTTTACGTTTTTTTTACTAAAAAGAGTATAACATGCAAAATTATAAAAAATAGAATTTGGCTTAACAGTCCAATCAATTAAAAAATAACTTAATGATCTATGTGTATGTATATTTAATTGGACTTGATATAACCAGAATATATTATAAAATTTAATGTATATTAAACACCAAAAAAGTAGGTACATATGTGTATAATATACATATAATAAACGATTATAAAAAATGATTGTCCCATAAAATAAAAGATTGTAAACATTACATTATTTTTAATAAAAAAACAAAAATAAAAATATAATTTTTCGTCAAGTGAAAATGTCATATTATAATTTGTTTGATAGGTTTTTGAATTTCCCTATCATCCAATAATCCATTGAAAATTTAGATTTGAAATAATCATCCAGATGTGCCACCTAATACAGAAGATGAAGATACTTTTTTAAAACTAACAGTAGATTAGAAAATTTAAAAATAATTATGCAATTCAAATAATGTAAAAAAAAACATGCTATTGCTGAGGCACGTATTATGTCTAACATAATGATATAAACTATTAAATTTAATTAATTTATATTTTTAATGTTTTTATATACATATACGAGATGTCGAAAGCATAATAATCGATTATGTATCAAACGTTGCTTGATAATGAACACATTGAACGCAATAATAATAATATCATAAAAACTATTGAATATAACATTGTCATACCATATTTTAATAATAATAATGTATGTTGGTATGTACAAAATATATGTATATATCGACTGCAAATGGTTCGACAACTAAAATATATTATCAACCCTCGTAATGCACCTCGTAGTAATATGTGTGCGCACCTGCTGCAATTTAGTGCAATAATCGTAAGAGGTGCTGTATCCTATATGGATACATTTCAAGAATTTAAACTGTGTTGTGTAGGTAATAATTTTTATGGTGCGTTTGTGCATTTGTCCTTACATAATACAATATATTTTATACAACGTGCGTTAAGATAAATTATCAAGGAAACCCGATTAAAGGCTTTTGCATTTACATCTCGTGAACATACAATAAATAATAAATTGGTGTATACGCGTCTTCCAAACTGCAGGTGCTTTAATATATTCCATACGGATAAGTGTAATAGTATAGGTAGGTGTATGTGAAGCGTGTGACCGGAAGCACAGCTTTATGCATAAACAGCAACTGTAGTTTACCGCGATATCCGGACGGCATGTAGTGCAACAATTGACTCTGCTGTTGTTGCGGTTGCTGTTGTTGTTGCTGCTGCTGCAGTTGCTGTTGTTGTTGTTGTTGTTGTTGTTGTTGTTGCTGCTGTAGTTGATCGTCGGCAACGATGCCGCTGCCGATTTGAGTGATGAGAGAAAACGGCGCCAGTTGCGGTGGTTTGTGCGTAGAATAAAACACGTTACCGTGATCGGTGTGGAACATCATGTTTTGTGACGTGGGCGGTAAAGTCGTGCTGGTCGACGTGCTGCTGACCGCCCCGCTGTTGAGCTGCCAATGGCCGCCAACGCCACTTTGATGGTGCTGATAGTAATAAGGGTGATAATGCTGGTGTTCTTGCTGGTAATAGTACGACGGTTTGGCCGTTTGGTCGGCGACGAAAGGCTGCGACGACGGACTTATGTCGTTGATGTAGTTGTCCACGTAACTCGCCACCGTCGCGGGCTGATGGTTGTGGTGGTGTTGTTGTAGTTGCTGTTGCTGTTGCTGCAGATGCTGATATTGATGTTGTTGGTGCATATACATGTTGTAGTGGTGTTGGAATTCGGGGTATTGCATCAGGAACTGTATAGCTTTATACAAGAGGAAATGACATGACAACACATAACGCAATAACTACAATATTTCGGAAAAGCATACCGTTTCCCATACATTTGTATATAATATAGGCTTATATAACCGAGTAAACATTTCATATGTGGTACCTATATACCTATCATTAAAATGTTAAATAGACTCAAAGTGGAGGCACAACGAATAAATACATATCGTCAATCGTAATATACCGCAAGAATAATGATCCTTAATATAGTAAACTATAATATATTAATATATACTTATAATCTATATATGTACTTAGAACCTACTTAGGTAATAATGATATCATGTTTGTTCCAAAATTAAAAAAGAAAATATGTTACAAACATGATCCACAATTTAATAATAATATATATTATATGTTTAGGTTTTACTCAGCAGCCACTGCAAATATAGGTAAGTAATAATTATGTGCACAGACGCATCCGTGTATCGTCACGACAAAACACACGCGTTTATAAACATGTGTGTCACGGAATTAAAATAATTAAACACATGCGTGCATATATATATGCTTTTACGGCTAAACAAGCAAACATAATATATGTATGACGAAGATAGGACAACGCAGTCTCGGTGTTTTATTTTTATTGTGGTAGAAATGGTATCCAAGTTAAAATTAAAACTAAATAAAATTTACACTCTCGCGTCATACCTATACCTGTCCCTCGCCGTCATTTAAACATATATATATCGTACACCGTGATTTTAATAAATACAAGAACCGTGACAATATTATAATGATAGCGGCCATAAAAAGTTTTGCTCTGATTATAATACCAAACGAGAGAAATTAACACGATTATTATTATTTATATAATGAACTATGTCGTCTCACATCCAGTATGTGCGTAACGACGTGTCACTTTAATAATAATAATAATAATAATAACATATAAATATGAACGTCACGTGAAACTCTACAAGGGAATATTGTGCAATGTTACTATTACTATTATTATTCCGAACCGTTTATTTCGATATAACAAACGCACGTTCTGGAATGAAACGTTAAAGAATGAAAATAAAAATAATATATTTTAATGTAAGAACTCACTAGCATTTTCTATTGTTCCCACCGAATTCGACGCTGCCGTCACGGACGATGACGACGATGATGACGACGAAGAAGATCCGGATGCCTGGATTTTATCTCTGGACACGCAACAGCTCCATATCATGCCACCACTGCACAAGTCCACTGGTTTTCCACCCTCGAGCATGCACGAAATACTAAGCCCGCAATCGAATTTGTTGCTGTTGTACCAACAAGTCTGTGGTATCACTGTGTACGGCGAAAAAAAAAAGCAATTAAAAAAAAAATAAATAAACGTCAACATGTACATTTTTTATAGGAATTAATCATAGTAATATTATTATTTGTGTGGGATCAACCGAAATAATATATTATAATGTATTACATCATATCATGCTATATTATCGTTTAATATTGTTATAATATTATAATTTACTACACGGCTTACATTTCATCTTATATCATGTACAGACTATGAACATACTAAAATACGCTACATAATCACAAATGTTTTACCATCGTCGATCAACGTGATTAATGTGCGTTAAATTATCAATATCAATAAGTTAGATGATTTTTTTTTTTTTAATGCGGAAATTGCTTGAGAGAATAGGTACCTACCTCATTACGCACAGTCATATTTTCAACGAAATATTAAGAGTATATGGCACAGAGGCCACACCATATTAATATATAGGGAAATTGAGAACACCGGTGATTATAATGTTACCATTTTGTTGGTAGGTACCTATATTTTAATTATTTTTTTCCGTTATTTTAGGATTAAAAAACGAGAAAATGAAAACACGCGTTTTATAAAAAAGCGTTTTCGACGAAATCGTATAAAATAATTTCAATATTTTTTTAATGACAATAATGATAATATAGCCATTAAATCCCTATAGACGGTAGTCATAAAACACACGCGTATTTGATGATAGCATATACATTTTTTAATATCATAAAATGACTTGTTATTTTTGTGTTTTAAATTATCTCACTTTAAGTCCTGTAATTCTATTGTATTTCTGTACAATAATCTTCGATAAAAATATTCTACAGATATTGTTTGCTTATCATCGTTTACTATACGTATATTATACTATATAGTAATATCAGTAACTATAACCTACACATTAAAGCTGTAATACGAAGTTTTATTTTACGTGCATACCTACTCAATTTATGCAAAAACTTTATTTACAACACGCGCCTCCGTAATATAATGAATTAAGAAATCAGATAAGTAAGTACTCAATATTGTAGTGTAATATAGTAGTAATGTATTATAGTGGAATAAATTTTCAATGCCGCAGTGATTATTCGAAAACGACTAATTTGTGTTTTTGACGGGGAAAGGTTTCTATATTGATGACATTCCATAAATTTACTTTTACATTTCGATTATTTAAATTCTGTAAAAGTAAAACGTGTTGAGAAAATAGTAATAATAATAATAATAATTATTATTATTATTATGTACCAAACAATTTCATAGGTACAACCCACTATTATTAATTTTTTTTTTTTTTTTTAGAAATGCGTATAATATAATCGAATAATCAGTTTATATTATCATATAACATAATATAAGAAACGAAAGTTAAATTATTATAGTTACTAATTATTAGCTGTATAATATGAAAAAATTAACAATTATTATAAAATTAGAATACTTTTTGTCTGCATTTTAAAAAAAGTAGATAAAATAATATGGAGATGATCACAAGAAAATGAAATTAATCCTGTACTTTAACAGACGTTATCATAGAATGAATTACTAAACTGAATCCATGTAACTATGGTTTGTATTTAAGCAACTAAAATTTAAATACATTTGAATTATCAATCGAAATGTTAACATTTTCCTCTTAGAAATATTACAAAAATACTAGTTCTTAAATTAGAAGTATTTTTTATTTTTAAAAAAAGTGTACCAGAACTCCGAAACTATAACAATAAAATAAATTATTGTCAGACAAAAATACTAATGTATTGGTTTCTTTATTTTCAATAACCATAAACTGATTTAAATAAACAAAAGTAACGCGGTCGCGGTCATTAATATTTGAAACACAAATCATCGGCATGGATTTGCGTAAATATCCACCTATATACTACAGTAAATATTGAATATTATTTTGTATACAAAAATTAACCTAGTCACCGGCTGTGGCAAGTTTGCAGACGAGTATTATAGCAATTCAGAAAGGAAAAACACCAGACGGCCGTGATGAAGAAAGTGAAACCACATCACGGTCATAGCATTGCTTTCGTTTATACTACCTACCTAGTATACAACTAATTGCGATGTGTATAATTTATTAATATTTTTATAGAAACGAGAACGTGTGTTGATTTTTAAAACATTATATATTATATTATTATACATGTAATAAATTGTAATGTATCATTAAAAAATTTACTGGGGCTTACTAAGCGATATAAATATCCCGGATATAAATGGCGAAATAATAATATTATTTAATTTTCATATTCGCGTAAAGTTTAATAAAACCGGCATCACAAATACCTAAAAGTTTTTAGTTTTTACGTCGTGTTATTATTCACATTGTCGGTAGCTCGTTAATAAATCTAGTTCGTCAATATAATATTATTATAAGAGGATTTGGAAAGTTTTCAACTTCAAATATTCTAAAAAACGCATGCGAAATTTTCTCATTAAGATTCTAAAAAGATATCAAAGTGTGTCCTTAGTCTTAAATGAACATAATAAGACATTATACGTGCTTTTTGAAAACTTTGCACATTCGCGCGAATTGTGATACCAACAATAACACCTATACCTATAGACGAAAATATTAGAGTGGCTGCAGAGAGGTTACTACAAATGAGGTCCTAACTATAATTTATAATTTCGTTTGAACATGACTAAAAAAGAAAAAAAAATGTAAAAGTTGTAAACCTAAACGATAGCAATAATATACGGTATATTGTTAATACAGTTAGAAAGGTAATACCTATATTATACCGAGTAATATAATCATATTAACTATTATAATCGAGATAGTTTGAAAATTATTTAGCCGCCTTCGTCATTATTTTATTGAATATTCGTCTATGAAATCAACTATAGAAGATTACCTATAATATTGTTATATTATTACGATCTAAAAATTGGTCGTAGGTAGTACTAAGAATACATTCCGAAGGCTGAATTTATTCAATTTAATCTCAGGGAAAGTTATCAAGGATTGAAAAAAACACAATGGAATAATTCTAAACGGAAAACCCACACAAGTATAATATGACATGATCGCCATCAGGTAATTGAAGTAAAGAGCTCATCATGTCTAAGTGTTAAAGCGGAGCGAAATCATTAAAATAACAACTAGATGGAACGTACATTGTAATTTATACTATAATATAAACATTATTGTACATTTCTCGGTTATTTTAGTGAAAAAAATTATGTAAGTACCTAAATACACAACACGATTACAATTTCGGCGAATCTAAAACAATCGTAGTGGGCAGCGTACATAATACCATAATATTACGAATAGATATAGGAGGATATGCACTACAAGACGTTCTACCTGTATAATATTTCATTTTAATATGCCTATAATAAAATTGTTGTTCCCCGCAACCACCGAGTTAACACACAAATCGAAACGATAACAACGTTATCGAAAACGTCGCGTGTCGGACGATTAAAAGCCTAATCATCTGTTCGACGAATTATTGTATAGATATATATCGTCTCGTACCTATTAGACCAAAAAAGAAAAAGACAATAGCGGTGATTTCTTCACAGAATCTAAGAACATAACGTATAACGACTATAACGAAAACGACTAATCTCTGCAGAACCGTGATTAATTATTACACCTGTTTATTAGATACCGGCTATTATACCTATTGTATATATTTTTTTATTTTCGATCGTTTTCATCGTTGCAGTCGTCCACCCGTCTACTCCCCCGGCCGACAACAAAAGTCGCGAGTATCGTTTTCTTCGATTGATTTTATTTTTTTTATTCTTTCTCTCTCACTCACTTCTTTCGTCGTTCATCTTCCTCTAATCACTCGGAAATGTCAACACACCCATCATCGCATCGGCAACCGAGTTCCGTGACAACTCCTCCGGATATTATACAAATACATTACGTGGCAGTGCACCGGATCGTATACCTATATATATATATTATAAGACCCGGAGCGTAGACCCGTACATCTCTACACATTTTATAATGTTATGTATACGCACGATTTACCCAAATTTACGATGGGTGTTCGTAACAGTCGTTACGAGTGAAGCGGACGGAAAACATAAACCGACAAACGAAAAAAAAAACAAAAAAACAAAAAAAAAAAACTCTGTCATTCATCGGTGTCGGTGCGACACGAGCAAATACGACAATAACATAATAATGCGAGTGTAAAACAGCAGTAAAAACTATATATGATTCTAAACGTCGTTATACGCCCGTCCCCCCCCTCCCCGGAGTAATTATTGTTATTTAATATACGAAATAAAGTGAAAAAGGTCCCGGAAAGTCGGGCGCGTCACATACTTTTACCCAACATGTCCATGAGTTCGTTTTGAAAGCCTTTGGAACCGGTGACGGTCGGCCCGCCGTAGTATCCGCCTTTGCCGGCGGTGGTGTTGAAACCAGACTTTTGCCCGAGCACTTCGGCCAACAGCACGGCGTTACTTCCCACGGCGTCCGGCTGCTGTTGCTGCTGCTGCTGCAACGACAGCGACGGCGTGGCCGCGGTGGCGGACGCGGCCGCCAGAGACGTCTTGGTCGCGTACGACATGCGCTTCGAGTACCACTTGGACGCGACGTCGGACGACGACGCCGGTTGCTGGTGGTCGTCGCCGTCGGCCACCGAGTTGCGGTGCGGCGGCTGGTGCACGACCACCTGCACCTCGGACAGCGACGACGCGGCGTCCGGCCCGACGCCGGCGGCCACCGGCCACTGTTGCTGGTGGTGCGGCTTGTCGTCGGCCGGTTCCCGCCGCTCGTTGTCGACCGTCTCGCCGCCCGCAAACGCCGCCGCTTTGTCCTGGTGGTAGTACTTGTGCGACGCCCGACGACGGCTGCCGCCGATGATCCAACCGCCGCCGTCGGTGGCCGACGAAGACGTGCCGTCGCTGACGTGACGATAAGTGTTCACCGTGCGGCGGATACCGTCGCCGTACGCGTCCGGCCTGTCGCCTCCGCCGTCTCCGTCCGCGTCGCCGCGGTCCGCCCGGTGACGTGGCCCGCCGTCGGAGGATCGGACGGCCGCCGATGGCGCGTCCGACGGGTAGTCGACCGGGGTGGAATCCGCGTGGCCGCCGGACGACGAGGAGCCGTTGCAGTACAACAACTGCATCACTATGACACTGACGATTATGGAGTATGACCTCATGGCAACGCGCTCGCAATCAACCGCGCGATATTTGTATATATGTATATATGTATATCGTTATATCGGTGGTCAACGATAACGACGTGTGTGGGTGTGTGTGTGTGTATGTTTTTCTTCTATTTTTTTTTTTCTGATATCGCTACGCCCGTCGTCTGCTGCTTGCTTGGGGTCTTTTGCTTGAACGAGCGCTATAACGTAGTCGTCAACACGACGATGACGATCTGACGTGGTTGTCGCGGCGTTTCGGTGGCGTTTCGACGATACGACATTGACCCGTAAGGCCGCGGTGCAATGCGACGATAACTATACTATCGCTGTTGTTGCGTAACATCCGACGATTATGATGATGATTATGATGATGATGACGATGACGCTGATGACGATGACGATCAAGACGACGGCGGATCAAGACGACGACGACGACGACGGTGTGAAGACGATGACGAATGACGGTTTTGACGACGGCCGACGAATATCGGAGGAATGCGCGCCACGAATCTTACGCTCGAATGTCCGCCACTTTCTTCTTTCACCCGCGCGTGTGCAAAGTCGGCGCGTACGTGTGTGTGTGTGTGATACGGCAAATAGGGCTTGGCCCGAGCAAATAATAATAATGTATAATAATCGTATTCGCGAGTATATAGCTCGAAAAACTATCACTTCGATAACAGGAGTAACAGCAGCAGTTTACCTTGGATTCCTGCGCGTGTATACAATGTCACGGAACGAGCGTATCCACTTTCTTTCTGTACGCGCACCGCTCAGTCGACGTCGTTGTTGTTATATTATTATTATTATTATTAGTAGTAGTAGTAGTAGTAGTAGTAGTAGTAGTAGTAATAGCAGCAGAGTAGTAGTAGAGTATTATTATTATTATTATTATTATTGAATTTTCTATCTCACACGAGCCGCATACACGTTCACTTTCACTCGCGGTCACTGAGAGTAAAAAAAACGAGTGTAAAAAAATAAATAAAATATCCAACACTACCTAGTACAGTGTAATGGAATTACGACAATAACAATACGATATTATGACATGGTATCGTTATTGTTAGAAAAAAAAAAAGAAGACGTGCCTCGTGCACGTGGTAACTTTGAGAAATATTGAACGTCAAAATCAAACGAAAACTCTGATTTACAATTTGAAATCAAACCTTACGCGGAAATTTTCAATCGCACTGAAAATATATATATTCTAATGAACGACTAACCGCCGAGAAAAATATAGTGTGGTATAACTTTTGACTTACCGCGTTACGAGTCGTATTAATGAGTTATCGCTGATTGTGTAAAAATCAATAACGCGTGGATATTATAATATGCTATTATTATTATTATTGTAACAGTTAAATAAAAACAGATTTCAATAGAGAACAATAATATAATATATATTTATGAGGATACGTAAATAGGAAATTTTCTTTATAAAAAATATGATAACAAAAGAAGCGAGCGAGAAAATTGTCCTTTTGTATAACTATTAATACGATGATAGTATATTATAGTGACAGATAAAACGGCTGATCACATTGGTGGTTATTTTTTTTTTTTTACATTTTTATCATCACGACTATCAATACACTACAGATAAATAACGAAGTATTCTTTATTCTCCGAAACAATATTAACAATAAAGATAAATATTAAGAAAGTAAACCGACTGAGAGCCGCAGCAGCACACAAAAGACTAGTTGCTACAAAACGTAGCGACCACCATCATCATATTCAAGTGTCTCCGCCTAACCGCTCTTTTACCGCGAACTTTCTCTTAATCGGTTTGCTGTTGTTCAATGTATACTTGACGTTTACCCCTCCACGATTAATAATCAGAATCGCACTCTTTCAAACGCCATAACTGTGCTTTTACTATATTGTTGCATACAATTCTTGCGCATATATATATAAGTATATAGTTTATTATTTTAGAGACATATTAACAAATTTTCAAAATAATTTATTAAATAGATAACGTCATTGCAGTAAAATCTAATGAATTCTCTTGCGCATTTCACGTGACTGAAAATCCAAACATATTCTCAACATATACGTACATTATAGTTATTACCTATAGATAATATTATTTAACACGATGTCTATAAATTATTAATAATGTTTTCATTTGTGATATTTTCGGTCCAAGACATAACAGAAAAACTTCTGGACTCTGTTTTATTAGAACCAATGACCGATATGTATTTAAATAAACGTATTAAAAATATATTATACTCTTCAATAAATATAGATTTTGTTGACTTAAACGTCGTGAAATTAATAATTAATATTAATACATTTTAACTGTACAGCGAGTTATATAACTTAATATAACAAGATTTTCTAATCTTATGAGTGTTGTATAGTATGTTATTCGTTAATTTCTTTTAGAAATTGGATGTTCGAAATTTTCCTATAATTAATTAGTAGAACTCAAATTAAACGAAATTTTAAACTAAATAAATTTATTGATTAAAATGACTTGAATTTAAACAAAGTTATTTAGTTAATTTTTTATTCATTAGTCAATTAGAAGAAAATACCAAAATATTTGTTGAATTCCTTGTATTCTAAAATACAACTAACTTTTTCACGTATAACGATAATATAGCACAAAATGATACAACAAAAGTATAATAATTATATTGGCTTCGAACGTATTATTTTGAAATTACTAACTTCTGTTTTTGGCCACAAATATATCATGAATTATAATAAATTCCAGTTTGTATTAAAAAAATTAATTTTATTGTAAAATTTTAGTAGAAATATTTTTAATATTAAGTGTCATTAAGTATAATTAATAAATGTTTTCTATCAATATCATTATTAAGCACTAGATATTCAGTAAAATTTGGGTAAAAATTGTTCAGAGTCATAACGCTGCAATTAATACATTTTTGATAGATTTATAATACAATACACTTTTATATCATACATTTTTACCCAATTTTTTTATTGTGTAAATTAATATAATAACTATAATAACTTATAAGTAGGTAATAACGTATATACTTACAAAATTGTTCGAAAAAACGACCCTTCTTCTTTATTTTATGTTGCATTCCTTGTTGTTTCAGTTTGGTTGTCATAGAATGATTAGATTCCAAAATTATTGGTGTATCGTTGTATTGTAATGTAGAAACAACATCATGTTCATCAAATTTCATCACTAAAATATTTTTTTTAATGAAAGAATAACATTTTACGAAAAAAAAAACCCTATTATTATTTACTCTTGTTTAATCGATGTGTTTTTTGTAGGCTAACTGCTACCGATTCGTAATTGCTGATGATTGAAATAATATAAGTAACTAGAGCTACTGGAATTATTGCGGTGTGCATGATAATTTTAGTTGCATCAAATGTTTCCTTTAAAACATAATAATACATCACAATTATTTCAACCTGCCAATTGGTATAGAAATTTAGTGTTAAACTTAGTTATAATTAGTAAATAATACGTAAGTCGTAAACACATAAATTATCCAATAAAATAACAACAAAATTAATTCATAAAATATTAATAAAATTTGTATTGGTACAAATGAGCAAAATAAAATATAATGGTTTAAGACACTATCTATAATAACAGAAGTCGCAATTAAAGTAAAATATAATATATACAAATTACTAGTATATAGTATATAAATAAACAAGAAAGTGGTGTTCATAAACAACTTATTATTCTTTATTTATCCTCACTATATACGAGTACTCTTTAACGACGGATATTAATTTATATTGAACTTATCAATTAAAAATGTATCACATGATACATCCGTGTAGGTAATCATCGTGAAGGTAAATGATTTTCTATTATTATATGTCACTGTAGCTACTCAACTTTAATTAGCATATAAATAATTTCTTTTTTTTTTTTTTTATTAAATTATTCATGATTTAATAGAAGCATATTATATCTATTTATTTAGTCTTAATAATCACAAATATTTGATTTATATTATTGTTTTTTGAGACACCAACATAAACACAAATACTTGTTTTTAATTCCTAAAATATGTAAAAAAGAAAAAAGTGTTTATGTAATTTACATTTGTAAAATAATACACACATTGTGAGAATTATCAGGCCGTGTAATTATGCATTGAATTTGTACTACAAATACATACCTACTAAAACAATAATAAAGAACTCAATAGTAAATCATAACTATCGCTACAATGCTTTCTGTTCAAAATATTATGCGTTATTATTTTTAATTTAACAACTTACCGGTTTTTTTAATTAAAATATTTAGTTAGAAAGTATTAAGTCAACCAGCTATTATAAACAGTACTTACGCGACAGTAATGACATTAAATAAGGAACTATATAATTAAGTTTAAAATGTTTATGATAAAATAATTTGACATTTGTTGATGTATAATATATTATAAATAGCACCGAAATAACTTGATTTAATTACGTTGTACAAAAGCCAATCATAGTACGTAGGTAAATCGAATAAAATTGAACTCTTATTAATATCCGAGCATAATTGCTCTGTGAATGTAAAAATAAACTCATAAATAATGTTGAGAAGACATTCCCGCGTATAAACTACACGGGTACTGCAGCATGCGTACCAGCTGTTGATGTGTTTACTGGGAGCTGACGTGCAGTCCATTGCTAGGTGAAAGTGATACTCAACAAATGGGATGTATGTTCGACGTATACAAAGACGGCATTTCTCCTTTAGTTTTGTCATGTCCGAGGAAAATATTTCATACCATTTAAATAGTGTGTACAAGTACTTACCTACAATCTGAGAACTGTGATGATAACATAACATAATATATTAATACAAATAATGTCTTAAGGTTTATATTTTATTTTTTTATCAATATATATATATATATACATATAGACCGATGAAAACTTAAATAGAAACAACTTAAATTATTTAGTACTATATAGTTCCATAAACATGCATTATTAACTCCATTCGTTGATAAACGTATATAAGCAAATTAAAAACAACATTTCTCGCTAAAGTAACAAGCTACGTTATATGGAACCTAACACTCTCCTCATAAACAAAAACAGATTATAAGGGCTGTCCAAATACTAGTATATCAGTTCAAAAAAATATATGTATATTAGTGCGTAAAAAATTATTAGCATAGTCTCGTAATATTTGTGTTATCTTTATCTTTGAAATACGAGTACACTAAGTACCGACAACTTACAACAAGCGTCGTTATAAGTTAAATATTGATATATAATATCACCGATTATTATTCATCTCATTGGTGACAAATACGCTAAAACATAGATTAAAAATAAGAATACAAATACTTCATATTCTTACAATTTATACTCCATCATGATGAGGGGAATCAAAAATTTCATATTATCTTTTTTTTTCCGTTTTAAAGCTGACAACGCTTAGGCAATTAAATAATTTGCTAAAATATCTCCAATACCACCTCTCGATTCTCAACAATTTCATTACCATTTTGAAGTCCGTTCCTCAAAAATAACACTGCGTAAATTTGGCTCCCGCTAGATCTTAGTTTTTTTTTTCAAATTATGAAAACTAATTTACAAAATGTTGTTATCACTTTAATTTGCTAGTTAGTAGATCTATTTATAGGGGGGGCTGTGTAAAGTTCCCACTCCTATTTTATTATTTTTATAATGAAATGGCAAATGATAATGAAAATTCTAAAATTCAATTTGCAAATTATTTTCAATATGATTACATAATTTTAAAATAAATTGGTTGTAGTGGGAGGAAAATTTTATAACAGTTAAGTACATTACTATAACATAATTATTGATGCAGAGTGTAGGTACTAACATAACCAGTTACATATAAATTTAAATATTTCATCAAAGTATACCTACATTCAGCATTTAGCCCCCAATTAACCACTGTTCACCGTACACTTAACACCAATTCCACCCATACATTCGGACAAGATGGGCATTTCAAGGGGCTATGAAACATTACATCTTACGCCTACAACTTATAAGCAAATAACAAATAAGCCTTGACTTTTTAGCTTCTAATACCATTATCATGAGCTTTATTTTAAAACTAAGCTTATAATAATACGTAAGAAGGTGAACAATAAAAAAAAAGTATATTTTAGTTTCCGAGTGGTTACTAAGAATAGCTTATAGACTTTACAACAACAGGTAAGTGTTATTTTTTTTTTTGAAAAACACTTTTGATTAAACTAAAACTGAACAAAAGTACAATTCAGTTTCAATTGGGAATTAGACACAGCTGTGGTACACTATACAGAAAGGTTTTTATTTTAAGTTCTAAAACAAAAGTAGTAGAAAGGCATTAAAATGTATGTGTCTCTTAGTAACGGTAAAATTAATAAAATTAAAAATTATTTTAAAATTATTATTTATGCA